GGTTTTGGAACCAAAATGTTGTCTACGTCAATAATTGAAAAAAATAATGACTATAATTTATTAGACTAAAAATTTCCTTTATGTCAAACGTTAATGTACGTTAATGTTGTCTACGTCAATAATTGAAAAAAAAAAAAAAGAACTTTTAACCATAACATTCTTCTTCTTTTTTTTTAGCACTCAGTCACAATTTTTTTTTTTTTTTTTTTTTGTGTCTTTAAGGTAGAGCAACTTATTTTGCTCTACTAATAGGAACTTTATATTTACTATTAGATTAATTTTTTAATAGTTAGATTTTAGTAAAATCAGTTCTGTGTGGCACAGATCTGATTATTAAAAAACTAATTTAACAGTTGAAAATAATTATGCCCACCGGTAAAGTAAAATAACATACTCCATTGTAAATATTTCTCTTTTTTTTTTGACTAAATGTCACTTTTAGGTTGTGACTAATGCATATAGTAACCATTTTTTTTTCTGAAGGAAGCCACAAATTTAAGTATGAGTAAAATTTTTAGCGACGACAGAAAAAAGTATCAATGACATCAAAAAGTTTCTGGGACTAAAAGCTTTATGACAAAAAGTTTTAGCGACACCACAAATTTGTGACTTAGAAAATATTAAAATTTAATTGGATGAACAAATATTAAAAAAAAATAGGACAACAGATCTTAATTCCTTCACGTATATCCCTATCATCGGGGTGGTGCCCTACTTTATACGAGTCTTGGGGATTCAACCCTAGCTATAACATTTTTGTAAGCTGCATTGCTCAATGTTCTCTCGGAAAAAAAAAATATTTATAGATGTATTTTATGGCAGAAAAAAGGAGAAGAAAAAGAATGATGTGTAGGATAAGTATATATACATAAGTCAAATAAGTATCTTGGAATGAGTTAATTTGGTGCAAAAGAGAAATACAATGGAATCACTTTTAGAACGGAACGCATCGAAATGAACAAACGGCTACGAAAAGCGCCTAAAGTATGTGACTGCCATATTATCTCGTGCTTTCCGCTTGCCCTTTGCTTTCCCTGCAAAGTTCAAAGCGCTCTCTCTCTCTCTCAGACAAAGACACAACTTTAAATCTTAAGCCTTGTTAATTTTATTTATTTAAATTTTATTACAGTTAAAAATTTTTATAAAAAATTACATTTAATTTTTTTTATATAATTAAAAACTCTCATATAAAATTATATCTGAACTTAAATTAAAAATTTAAATAACTAGTTCTTAATATACATAATATTATTATAATATATGGAAATAATATATGGCTTTTTATCTCTACCAAAGGCAAAGGGGTATCTCGGCAAAAACAACAGCTCGCTTAAATTTTTGATATGTTTATGCAATAATCGAGAAAATCTCAACAACAAAAAAAAAAAAAAAAAGCAGAGAAAAAGCGCCAGATTGTAAGATTTTTCAACCCAAACTGCGTTACCATTCCATAAAGCAGAATCAACAAAGCGAAAGGAAAAAAGACTCTCTCTCTCTCTCTCTCTCTCTCTGGGATAAGAGAGAGAGAGAGAGAGAAAAGAGAAAGTGCGAATGATAGGGACCCAATAAAGAAACAAGAGTGAGCCGTGAAAATTATATATTATACATGCGTTTTTTAAAAGCAAACGTTAGTCTGTTAGTCCGTTTAATTCGTGAATTTAAATTTTTAATTTAAATTTAAATGTGATATTTTTTTAAAATTTTTTATTGTAATAAAAAAAATATATGTGATATTTTTTAAAAATTTTTTACTGTAAAAATTTATAACTGAAAAATTTAAATTGATAAAATGAAACATATATCAAAATTAATTGAATAGAAGATAACGTATCATATATATATATATATATGACACGGACAATATCAATTCATTTGTACTTTTTTATGCGTATAAATCTTCTAATATGCTACTCGAAAAGATCCACTCATAGAGAAACAAATGAAGAAAAAAAAAAGATTGAGAGAGGTTTTTATTGATGTAAGAGTATTTTTTTCTATTCCACAAACACGGACGATTTTTTTTTTTTTTCATTTTAGTATCGTTTCTAGGAATAAACCTTCTTTAAACACAAAAATATATTTCATGGATAGTATTGATTTTGATTATTTTTGTTTGCTTTATTTTCCCATTAATAATTGCCAAAAGTTATTATTGTAGTTATTAGTATTAATGACGGAAAACTAATTTACAGTAATTATTACTTTTTTTGGGAAAGGGTATTAAATTCTACTAAATGAAAAAAAATTGATAATTTATTTTTAAGAGTGTGTGAGTCTGAACATTTATTTTTACTCTTGATAAATACTCTTTTATTAGCATAATTATTTGATTAAAACGGTTATAAATTAAGAATAAAGAGTAAAAATTCTAACTTATACACTTTTAAAAAGTATTTCTCAAGATTACTCATTATAAATTAAGAAAATATTACACCAATATTAATTTATATGACCTCAAAACTAACCACCACCAGAATACAGTAAACTCAAGTGAAACGCTAAGTGGAGTAGATGTGTGTTAAGTTTTGAACAGAGACACCGAAGTAAGTACACAAACAATCGAGCACACACATGATTATTTAACAAAATATTTATAATTAATGAAAAAATCCGATCTACTGAAATTGAGAGTCCTTTAACACCAAGGTCAACATAAAACACAACTAAGAAATAAATCTAAAAGGTTGAAAGCAAAAGAAAATTTTCAAGCACCATTGACAAAACCTCTTACAATAAGATGACGGGTGATAGACCCATAAGAGAAAGATGCAAAACCCAAGAGAAGCACATTATAGTGAAAGTACAGCCCCCGAGTCGCGATATGTAAGCACCATGTGCCCCGCAGTCATCATTAGAAGCAGGGGTAATCACAAAATCTGTCAATTCAATTAATCCGTTAAATCTATTCCAATACAAGTTTGGGATTGGTTTTCATATTGAGCATTTCTCAATTCGTAAAATCTGTGAATCGAAAACATATATATTATGGATATTTATATGAACTTTTATAAGTTTTTAAATTTTTTTGAAAAAAATCTGTGTATATATGTATAATTTGTTGAACCACTTTATGTTATGCTATATTTATAGATGTTGTAAATTTTGAACTTTAAAGTACTGTTGATAAATAATGCAAATTTTATTTTGTGTTTTATTTTGTATAGATGTTTAATATAATCATTAACTTTAAAGGTCCTAATCCGAATAATTTTTTAATCTAATCCACAAAATTCGAAAGTTTTTGTTTGGATTATGGATTAACCTTTAGTCTGCATATTCCAATCCGTAAAAACTAGGGCTGTAAGAAATCACCCCGAACCCGACGAACCCGGCCGAGCCGAGCCGACCCTACCCGAAAATCACGGGTTTCTAATTTTTTATTTAATTTTCGGTTTGAATTATACCTAACCCGCACTGCGCGGGTAGGGGCGCGGGGTGGGGTTACATGAACCCGAGGTAACCCTACCCGGCCGAACATGTTCAAAGTAGGTAAAACAATGTCCAACACTTCAAATTCTTACTTTCATAAGTTTATGGACTTTATGCATTTAAACTGTTAACTTATTTATGTTTTGGATTCACGATTTGTGTAAAAAATACTTGTATGCCATAGTTGTTGAATTAGGACATTCTTTATTTATATTGGAAGTGTTTGATTTCAAAGTGAGTGTTTTAATTGTTCACCTTGCATTTAGACCCCCTATTGAAGGAAAAACATGTTCTGTTTGATAATGATTTCTTATGTAACAAGCACAGATTAATTGACTAAAAAGTGATCATGTGGTCCTTGAGATCACTCTTGCTTTATGCATATTGTGATATGAGTTATTAGTCTTTATATTTTATTATGCCGCAATTTTGTTGTGTAATTATTTACTACAATAGTATTTGCATATATCATTTATTGCTCATTTACTACAATAGTATTTTATCATTTATTTGCATATAAGAGCCTCTTAGAGTAAAATTGATGAAGTCATAGATTAAAATTGGTTTTCACCAACCCGAGTAACCCGACCCTACCCGAGGTCACCCGAAAGGTTGCGGGTTTGTAGACTTAAGAGAGTGTTGCGGCCCAAAATTTTCTCAACCCGCACTAGTCGGGTAGGCTCAATTTTTCGGCTCAACCCTACCCTACCCGGCCGATTTACACCCCTAGTAAAAACCCTTGACCAGAAGATTACATCACCACCGCCATAATAATTCTATTGTAGTGCATATACAATCCTTGAAGGATTTCGACCACTCTATGCTAGACATAGCCAAAAACAATGCCCCACCAATAGTAATCAACTCCGTCTCACGTTCAATCCAGCCCAACCAAAGCTCCACGGCGCCACCATAATTATTATTTTTGAACTGAGAGATTCAAATTAATATTTGGTTTATAGATTCAGAATTATTCTCAATTTACGTATATTTTTTTAAGAGAAAATACTGTAACGAACTATGAACTATAATTTAAATTATTATACGAATTTATCAACCAAACGCACCAAAAAATCAGTATAGAATTACTATTATACTATACATATAAGCACAATTATTAAAATTATTAAAATAATATAAGAAATAAAAACCATACGATACATGCATGTAAAACTTTTTTTTAGTGATATTATATGCATATATATGGACGTGTTTTCGATGATTTTGTTATAATTATCTATTAAATATAAAAATTTAATAAAAATTTAATTCATTTATTATCATAAATTTTTAAGTCTATTTATCTAATTTATTACACCCATCTAATCAATAACTTAATTGTCATAAATATTACTGGAAAATTAAACAATGGTAAAATGAACAAGGATTAAATTATATACAAAAAATTGTGGGTTGTGGGAATCTTTCATCGCCTTCCCACAGTGGCAGACGATCCCACAGCGCCACCTCTCCATCTGCTACTTTTCATGCTCTCTTCCTCTCTTTTTCCTCTTTTCCTCTGTCTTTATCTCTCTCTCTCTCTCTCTCTCTCTCTCATACGTCGTCAAAGTTTTGTGCTCTGCTTACTTCTGCCACAAGACTATGATCAACATTTTCCCATTTGGCCTTGCATGTGAAGATGATTCCGTAAGAATTCCCTCTCTCTCTCTCTCTCTCAAAAGATTATTTTCACATTTTTGTGAAGAGTGCTGTGCTAGTTTTACCACTTCAGCGTCAGGAGACTATATTTATATATCCATATTCATTGTTTGTTTATTGTTTAGACTGTGGTATATTTTTCTCCATTTTAGGATGAAGATTATAAGGAAAACAAGTCAGTTTCATGCATAGATGAAAACAAGAGATCAGAGGCAGAGCAGAGAATTAGTAGTACTAGTGGTGTTATAATGGATTTTGATCAACAACAGCAACAACAAGAGAATATTAATGGTGTTGAGGTTGAAGTGGACTTTGAAATCTGGCCAGTGGAACATCCTATGGAGCCCCCAGATGAAGACAGGCCTGTAAAGTGCCCAATGCCTGAGTCTTCTGTCATTAATGTAAGTTATGATCATAAGTAAATTAACCAATTTTCATCTTAATTAATTTCTCTTTCTTTCTTATTTGGCGAATATTTTTAATAATATCTCGTATCATTAGAAATTTGGAACGACCCCATAACTTGAAATCTTCCTCTATATACTACAAAAAGAGGGAAAAAAAAAAATATATATATATATATATATATGTTTCAATTTTTAATACAAAAGGTTGTGAGAAATACATTTGGACAGAATTAGCTACATTATACTTCCCTTCACATCACTCAAATACCTACCCAAAAAAATAAAAGTCAGTTTAAAACTACCACTAAAAAAAATAAGGAAAAGAAAAAAAGCAAAATATGCTAACTGGGCATTCAACATGACTAAATGCTCAAAAAAAAAAAAAAAAAAAGAAAGACTAATGAACAAAGTTTTGGCAGGATGAAGGAAGTAAGCGTGAGAAGAGACTTGCGGAGAGCTTGACGAAGAGAGCAGAGGAATCGGCGGCGAACAAGCAAGGAAAAGAGGATTCCGGTGCGGTTGCGGAGCGTCCGGTTCGCGCGGTGCGTAAGAGGCACCACACTCTAACCGGAGAAGGAGGGGACGACCACGACGTAATAGTGCCGGCCTTAACAAGAATGCCTCCTCTTCCGTCCGACAAGAATCTCACCATCTTTCAAGTGCTTCACGAGTGATTCGACAAATTTGATTTGAGTCTTTAAAGAACAGAAAAGAAAAGGTAAATAATTGATCATTTTTGAACTTCAATCTCATCTGGGGTTTGGTCTTTCTTTCTTAATTTCTTACTCTTTTTTTTTTTTTTTTTTTTTGGGAATGGTGATGAGAAATATTAGTAGTGTGATTTTCCTGATATTATGTGGCTGCTTTTAGGATCAGAAAAATGCTAAATGTACGTAGCATTTGGACGTCTTTTAGTTTGTAACTTCATTGCTTGCTTTTTTTTTTTTTTCTTTTTACAAATCAATATTCTGTATAATAGTTATCTATATATTATCATCAAATGAAATCCGTGGAATTTCTCAGACAATCCAGTGACTGAAGCATGGTTTTGTGCTGGTTTTTGAAGAATTTGTTCGGGTTAACAATTTTGAAGAATATGAACTTAGTAGGTAAAACATTGTTAGGTGATGTAGTTAAGTGGTGAGTTAATTACAGAGAGCTGAGTATGGAAACCCCACTATATAGACTGTGCATAAGTCATTGAAATCTAAAAATTCTGAGTATTCATTCAGACATTATCGGATTCTTCAAGCAAAAAATCAGACATTATTGGATTCCGCTCTGTTAAAAGTACGATAAACTACGTATGCATTTGTCAGGGACTGAAAAAAAAATAGGAAAAAGAATGGTCCTAGTGTGAAGTGTGCGACAAAATTACGTTTGGCTCCTTTTTTGTTTTCTCAAGTCACTGTTCACTGTTTATAGGCGAATAAGGCATGCATAAAACTTGTTCGCATTGGAATGTTATACTCTTTTTTATTATTAGTCTACATTTGCAATTTTGCACACACGAAATGTTATACGTATTTGAGTAGACTGATGCAATGACACAAAATATATATTAATTTTTATCTACTCTTAAAAATGCATGAGTCTGAATTTTTACTCATTATTCTTAATTAATATCATTTTATTAGTATAATTATTTGATTAAAAAGTTATTAATCAAGAGTAAGGGATAGAAAATCTCAGCCCATGCATTTAAGGAGTATTTGTCTCATTTCCTCTTATTTAAAATTAATTGACTATCATATCATTGCTTAAATATATTAAATAAAAGCTTATCAAGACTAATTTAATTTCAAATTTATTGAATAATGTGTTTGGAAACTAAGAATAATTATATAAAAAACTAATAAATAAAGCTTATTCTGAATTAATTCCAAAAATATCTCTAAAGTTTGGTGCAATTTTTAAAAGTATCCCTTAAAATGGAGCTCTCTTTTATCTCTACTCCTTAACATTAGCCGATATATTTTTACTTTTTCGACTAGAACTAGTCAAGAGGCAGAAATTTTTTTTTTTTTTATAAAAAGAGATACTTTTAATAAGTCAAGAAATAAAATTTATAATTTTCTCCTTTGCATTTATTGTTGTGGGGTCAAATACTTTCTCTACTTTTTTTTTTCCTACTTTGGAAGGATTAGAAAATAATGAACCTCTAGGATTTACAAGCTTCTTTCACTTTCAATTTCCTCTCAAACAAACGACTCGAAATTCCCTTTTGTTCTCCGGAAGATAGATGTCATAACTTCTGAGGACTTCCAAAGCATTTATAACCCACTTCAAATATCCAATTGCCCAATACATACAATATGTTTTTCATCATTGTTTTAGGGTTAGTTTTGAAACTTTTTACACGTCAAGGATCAAAATGGGGTTTGACATAAAGCTCGGGATCATTTTTTCAATGAACCAAAAGGAATAGAAGTGGACAATTTTCCTTCCCCCAAAGAAAAGGGAACAAAGAAAAAAGAATAAGACAATTTTGAAAGAGATGACAAACAAAGAGAACAAAAAGAAAAACCTAGATATTTGTCCGTGATTGCAAACCACTCATTGTGTTCTGGACCCAGAGATTCTGCTGTAATCCTTCTCTCTCCTCAACTTTTTTTCCCCTTTTATTGCTGAATTCTCTCTTCAACTATTTAATTCCCCAATTATAGCCCTCGCAAAATAGTCCCTCAAACTGGAGTAGAAAGTACAAAGAGATATGGAGAGAAAACATGGCATTAGAACTGTGACTGTCCATGAATTGAGGCTCGCTCAATTAGTTAGGTGTGTGAGCGTACTTTTCAATCGTATTTGGTTCCATTTCACCTTTGTAAAATAGGACCAAGCACCGTATTATTTAGTGGACGTTTAGTTTACGGATTTAAAATTATAATTTATAATCATTTTCGATTAGTGTATTTTTTATAAGAGAAAATCCTATAACGAACCACCAACTATGATTCGAACCATAACACATCCTCATACCAAACACTAATAAAAAAAAAAAAAAGAAGCTATGAAACTATTAACTTTTTTTTTAAATACCTGTGAAACAAAGCAAATATGGAGTATATGAATAACGGTTTCCTATTTTTATTCAACAAGGGAAATACAGAGGGCAACAGCCATGCCAAGTGTGAGTGAGGTCAATTGGGCAGCTATACTTTTCAGTGTAGTCTTACCACTGCTATTCATCTCAGCAAGCACGCCAGCAACTGCAATGTAGATAAATCCACCAGCCGTAAATCCCTGCAAATAAGTCAAAAGAAAGAATATTTTCTTTAGATTTGATAACCCATTTGGACGTAGATTCCAATAAACTACTCCATGATTCAAGAGGTTCACCTCAATTAAAGATGATTGCCCCGGATCTTGTCCCCATAGCAGAGCCTACACCAAGATGAACAATTACTCTCTTTTTTATTTTTATTTTTTCTTCATTTTGATCAGTGAAGGGTTTATGGAAAAGAGCCTTTTGTATGGATATCATACCATGGCAGTTCCTGCTAGCGCAACTAGAGCTGAAAGGAAGTTAAAGAATAGGGCTTTTGATACACTAAATCCAGATCTTACTAAAATACCAAAATCGCCAACCTGCGCAGAAGGTAAAACTTAGCCATTGACATTAGAAATATGCAAGTAAAGGGGAACTTAAATGCATAAGGAAAGGCTAAGCAAAACAGCTCACAGACAATGGTTTAGAACCGATATTCATGTAGAAACATTTTATAACACGAAAAAGGATCATTTTGCAGTGGACACCCCACACAATTAATCAAATAAGATCCCAGAATCCAGCTTCTACTCGAGGAAAAGATATGTGGTTACAACGCTAAGTCTACCCCTTCAAAAAAATCATTCCCGAATTGTAGTAAATGTAAGGTTTGATCTTAACTCCTTGAATATGATAAAGATTTCTTACCAACAGAACAAGCAGAGACACTCAAAATTCCAGATAGGATTAATTACAGAATCCAGATAGACGTTAAGCGAGAAAGGAAGATTCCAATTAGAGTATGGGAGAGAGGCAAAATAACAATGCCATGTAGTTCCAAAAGACGTAATCCAAACTCAATTGGGAAAGGATAAAACTTGTTCAGCTAGTTGTGCTGAAGCATTTGAGGAAGCTTATGACCTAGCAAGATTCCAATAAAGCAAATGCATTTTGAGTTAATTTAGAGAGAGTTATGGACCTCTTGAGGAAGCTCATGAGCAAGCAAGAAAAGGGTTCTAGACCATCCGCCAACTGAACCATAAAGCAAGAAAGCACTTCCCAAAGCCATCCCATCAGTAAAATTGTGCTGCAACAAGAGTAAAAACTATGTTTAAGTACATGGAACTTCGACCAAGCCAAGTACCATAAAGTAAATATGCATCACTCAAGTCAATGAAGAACCTTCCTTTAAAAAGTACTTGACTATTTTACAGTAAAAAAGAAAAAGGAGAGAGAGAGAGAGAGAGAGAGAGATGCATACAACTCCATCTGAGAAGAGATTGAGATAACCGAAGACAAGATTGGTTGGAGGGTGAGCATGTTCTTCCTTTGAAGCACTGATATCAGCAGAGGAGAATTTAGCAGTATTTACATCTTTTTTATCATCCTCCCCATCAGCGGTAGTGTGTCTCTACAGCAGGCAACCAAGTGGTCCATATCAGATAAGGTTTAATATGCATTTCACTAATTCTATTAAAGTCAAACATATCATTAATAAGTAATAATTTCATCCATAAATCACTGAAATAACTCTCACACACACACAACAAAACGAAAACAAAGTCCATTTTCTTAGACTGTTCACGAGGATAGCCAGTTTACAAATGCTATGGACCAACCTTTTATCATAATGTATCTACTTTAAAAAAAATTTCTCCTTCAGGGTTGTTTTGATACTTTTCTTCGTAGTTGCACATTATAGATAAAAGTCTCTCATTCTCTAGACAAGAAAGTAAGAGTATTCTTACACAATTGATCAAGCACAGTGCAAGAAGAATGATGCAAACAAATAATTGAAGCATTATTCAAAAAAATAAAAAATTCCCTCGATTCAAATTCAGTTGCCATGTTTAAAATCTCATATTTCATATATATTTGAGCCTAAGATGATTAGTGATAAGAATGTAACTAATTTTTTTTTTTTTTTTCATTATAATACGTCAGAAATGAAACTGAATACTTGTTGAGTACATGTCAAGCAAGTGGGTGTACGTAATCAAAACCAAGGATTAAAATATCGCATACAGACTTCATACTAAAGAAATGTCGATAAAGATGTGAATATTGATAACAGTACAATTTCACTAATATTGTTAGTAATCCATGAGTACCTATAGTGATAAAGGGAAAAGGTTATGTTTTCACAAGTGTCACAGAGAATCCGAGAGATCAATATTTCAACAGCAAAACTACTGACGTCAGGAACTCGCAGTTCAGTTTTTTTTTTTTTTTTTTCCAATAGGATTCTTAGAATACTTTACACGTGGCATGAAAAAATTAACAACTTAATTCCTTGATACCTCACAGCTGAAAAATAAACACATAATTCGAGTTTTAAGTTGCCATCCTGCATCAACCATACTCCCGATCTCCGTCCTATGTCTATTATAGCCTCTGTGTGCTGCATCTAACTTGTCAAGCTTCTGGACCATTTACATGATGTGAGATACTCTACCTCCTAGACTACGTCATTGCATAACTTGGTCCATACCTATCATCTATTATGTATTCAAGTATGCATCTCCAAATTCTAATCCGCCAAAGTCAAGGTAGAGCATGGCCATAGAAAGCTTGTCACTGCACGTCATCATCAGACATTATCACCCTTTAAATATGAGATTTCTCAAGCTTACCTTCCGAATATTGGATTCCCGTTGAGTAGCCTCCTCTGATGAATCAAGCAACACTTCATCTGTCACTTTACCTTCAGATGAATTCTCCGATACCTTTACATCTTTTCCGTTGGACGAATTTGACTGCGCGTCATCAGAAGAGTCATCATCATCCTTCAACTTCTTACTTTTCTTATGATGGTGGTGGTGGTGACCGTGACTCCATGCATTACTTCCTCCAGAATTATCTTCTACATACCTCACTACCTTCTCCACTAGAAGAAAGAGTACAATCCCAGCTGGAAGAACCAATTCAAAATAAAATAATGGAATGCAAGAGGACCAAATCAGTAGATGTCTAATAATGGTGACACAAATAGAACAATTAAGTCAACCCTGTAGATCATGCAAGTCAATGAAGTAATTGCAGCAGATAATATCAAGAAACAAACTGGCTACAAATACAAGCAATTAATGAGACATTGGAAACAAAATTCTGATAAGCCTCCTATTCGGTTCACTTATGCTAGGCGTGGCAAGCACGTGAGGGGGGCAAATTAGTTGGTACGGTAAGGTCTATTTGGGAAACTTGTGTGGGGGCCTGGGGATCTGTGTTAGTATAGGGGAATTCAATTGTAATGGAATAAGTAGGGGGAATTCGGTGAGGAAAGGCAGGCAATTAGTGAGTGAAGAAGAGTAGTTCCTCTGGGAGAGAATTGAGCCTCTCGAAAGCTCAATACCTATCTTACTTTCTTGTATTTTTCTATATTTCCGATTGGCTTCCGTTAATACAAATTCCCAACTTCTCTTTTCCTATCATTTCTCGCTACTATCTGTGTGGAATCTATCATCTGGTATCAGAGCAAGTCATCGGAAGATGGTGAACAGAAGGATTGCAGGCCGAGGAGAGGTGGTGGAGGACCGGGGAGAGGAACAACAGGCACCGACGGAAGAAGTAGACCCGGGGGAGCTTCGGCGGAAGTTGCGGAAGCTCCGAGGAGACCGACAACGCCTTGCGGTGTTGGAGAGGAGCCTTGATACCATCGTGACGCGGATTTCGGTGCTCGATCGGATGGAACAGGCGCTCCAGAAGCTGGAAGATCCGTCATGACTGGGAGGAAATGGGGGAAAATTGCTCCACCCGGAGTCCTCGAACCAGGGGACGTCGTTCGCCGCGGGGGAGGAGGGTCGACCCAACGGACCCACCGGGATTGAGCGTTCCGATTGGGATCGGGGTGAACCGCGCATGCGTCTGTTGGAGATGCCCATGTTTGACGGGGAGAATCCAGAGGGTTGGCTGTTCCGTGCTGAGCGATACTTCGGGATCAACCGGTTGACGGAGCCCGGGAAGCTACAAGCGGCGGCGATCTGCATGGATGGGGAGGCCTTGGCTTGGTTTCAATGGGCGGATGGACGGAGACCTATTCGCAGCTGGCAGGAACTGAGGATTCACGTGCTGGATCGATTCCGTTTGACCTAGGAGGGGTCCATCTGCGAAAAATTTCTGGCTCTCCGCCAGGAGGGGTCGGTACGGGAATACCGTCGGAGGATTGAATTCTTGGCTTCTCCGCTGAGTGAAGTTTCAGAAAAGGTGATGGAGAGCACATTTATCAACGGGCTAAAACCGGAAGTTCGGGCGGAGGTCTGTTTGGCTAACCCCAGCGGGTTGACCCGGATCATGGAGTATGCCCAACGGGTCGAAGACAAGAATAGCATGATACGACCGAACCGAACAGCTGTGACGGGGCCATGGGGACGAACGTCGAGTGGGGGCCCCTCGGCGAGCCCAACCGGACAGCTCCCTTCAATCCCAAAGGCCCAGGCGCCACGTCCTCCAGGTAACCCATCCACTGCCCCTCTTCCCTTTAAGAAAATGACTGATGCAGAATGGCAAGCTAAGAGGGACAAGGGACTTTGTTTTCGTTGCGATGAGAAATACTCATTTGGCCACCGTTGCAAAAACAAGGAACTTCACATTTTAATGATTAATGATGAGATAGAAGTAGGAGAGTGGGAGGAGGCCGAGAGGGAAGGGCAGGAAGGATGCGCGGAGGAGGTCCGCGAGACAGTGAAACTGTCCATTAATTATGTAGTTGGCCTGACCACCCCAAAAACCATGAAGGTTAATGGGCGAATTGGCCAGCAAGAGGTGGTGGTGATGGTCGATTGTGGGGCCACACATAACTTTATCTTGGTAGCATTGGTTGAAAAATTGGGGATCCCGAAGGTGGGGACTAATTGCTATGGGGTGTTGATGGGCACGGGAATAACCATAAAAGGAGAGGGGATGTGTAAAGAGGCCGTGATAACCCTCCAGAACATTGAGATCATTGAGGATTTCCTACCTCTGGAACTAGGTAGTGCAGATGTAATCTTGGGCATGCAGTGGCTTGAATCCCTGGGTGGCATGCAGGTGAATTGGAAGACATTGACGATGAAGTTCCGGCGGGGGGGGGGGGGGGGGGGGGGCCCATGTGGTGGTAATCTGACGGGGGGGGGGGGGGGTCGCGGTGACCCTTCAAGGGGATCCCAGTTTATGTCACTCCCGGGCATCACTTAAGGCCATGGTCAAGGCTTTCCGTGAGCAGGATGAAGGGGTGTTGCTGGAATTGGGAAGCATCTCCGTGGAAGATGGGGAAAAGCAAGCGGATAGTCCACAGCCCCTAGTGGAGCTAGTGCAACAGCACCGGCATATCTTCGAGTGGCCACAGGGGCTACCATCGAGTCGCGGACGAGATCACGCGATCACGCTCCAACCGAGCATTGCGCCAATAAACGTGCGGCCCTACAGGTATTCGCAAATTCAAAAGACCGAGATTGAGCGCCTGGTGAGGGACATGTTGGCGGCAGGGATAATTTAGCCAAGTATTAGCCCTTATTCGAGCCCAGTTCTTCTAGTTAAGAAAAAAGACGGTAGCTGGAGGTTTTGCGTGGATTATCGCGCATTGAATAAAGCGACAGTGCCGGACAAATCTCCGATTCCAATGATCGATGAGTTATTGGACGAGCTCCAGGGGGCCACGGTTTTCTCCAAACTCGATCTCAAGTCGGGATATCATCAAATCCATGTCAGGCAAGAGGACATTCCTAAGACTGCATTCTGAACCCCCGACGGCCACTATGAGTTCTTGGTAATGCCTTTCGGGCTTACCAATACCCCGGCAACCTTTTAGGCTCTCATGAATGAGATTTTCAAAGAGCATCTGCGGCAGTTTGTACTCGTTTTTTTTTTTTTATGACATTCTAGTGTACAGTCGGACCATGGCTGATCATGTCATCCATTTGCGAAGGGTACTAGACATTTTGGGGGCGCATCAGCTATTTGCCAATGAGAAGAAGTGTGAGTTCGGCCAATCCCAACTGGAGTACCTTGGCCATATCATTTCCGCCGACAGGGTTGCAACGCCAACTATGCTGCGGGAGCTACGAAGGTTCCTCGGGCTTACAGGTTACTACTGCCGGTTCGTGGCCGGTTATGGCACACTGGCTTGGCCACTCACCCAGCTCCTTAAGCACAACAGCTTCCATTGGGATGCCGCGGCCACAGAGGCTTTTTCCCGCCTCAAGCAGGCCATGACAACGGTGCCAATCTTGGCCTTACCCGACTTTACTCAGCTTTTTGTGGTGGAGGCGGATGCATCCAGCCATGGCCTTGGAGCGGTGTTGATGCAAAACAACCGGCCCCTCGCCTACTTCAGCCAGACCCTCTCCTCTCGCGCGCGTTTGAAGTCCGCATACGAGCGAGAATTGATGGCTATTGTGATGGCTATCCGCAAGTGGCGCCACTACCTTCTGGGCCGCCGCTTTGTGGTCCGCACCGACCAACGGAGCCTTAAATACTTGCTAGAACAGCGGGAGGTTAGCGCCGAGTACCAGAAGTGGCTCACCAAACTCATGGGATATGATTTCGATATTCACTATAAGCCGGGTTTGGACAACAAGGCCGCGGACGCCTTGTCCCGCTGGGAACCACTTCCTTCCCTCGCCGCCCTGGCTGCTCCATACTCCCTAGTACTAGGGGACCTCGACGTGCATGTTCTGGGGGATGAGAAGCTTCAGGCCGTGGTTGACACCCTTAAACGGGGCGGCGTTGGGCCTGCGGGGTATAGCATCGTGCAAGGGCGATTGTTATATCACAACCGGCTAGTGGTGCCACGCTCCTCACCGCTGGTGGGTACTATCCTCAAGGAGACGGCGTCGTGGGCGGCCACTCAGGCTATTTGAAGGCCCTTAAGAGGGTGCAGGGCTGTTTTTATTGGCCAGGGATGAAGCGGGATATCCTCCAGTATGTGGCTCAGTGCGCCGTATGCCAACAAAACAAGAATACCACCCTGGCTCCCGGGGGTTTGCTGCAGCCGTTGCCAATACCGGACCGCATTTGGGAGGATGTTTCGATGGATTTCATCGAGGGGCTTCCGCGTTCCGAGGGGGTTGACGCTATCTTAGTCGCCGTGGATCGGCTGAGGAAGTATGCCCATTTTGTGGGACTCCGGCACCCCTTTACGGCCCAATCGGTTGCAGGACTCTTCGTGAAAGAGGTAGTTCGCCTCCATGGCATTCCCTCTTCCATTGTTTTCGACAGGGACAAGGTGTTCATGAGCAAGTTCTGGACCGAACTCTTCCGTCTTCAGGGAACAGTGCTCAAGCATAGCACGGCATACCACCCTCAAACGGATGGGCAAACCGAGGTTGTCAATCGCTCCGTAGAGACGTACCTGCGCTGTTTTGCTTCCACCCAGCCTAGGATGTGGGCGCGTTGGCTGCCATGGGCAGAGTATTGGTACAATACTTCGTTTCACACGACCATACGAACCACGCCCTTCCAGGCGGTTTATGGTCGGGACCCTCCCCGTTTGCTGCGTTTTGAGGCTGGTTCCACTCCCTTCTCGGCGGTGGACCAGCAACTGCGGGACCGCGATGCTGTTTTGGAGGAATTACACCAGCAGCTGCTGCGGGCACAGCAGAAAATGAAGCACCAAGCGGATAGGCATCGCCGGGATGTGCAGTTCGAAGTAGGGGACCTGGCCTACTTGAAGATCCGCCCCTATCACCTCAAATCCTTAGCTCGGCGTCCTAATGAGAAGCTCGCTCCCCGGTTTTATGGGCCTTTCAAAGTCCTCGCGCGAGTAGGATCCGTCGCCTATAGACTCCAGTTGCCCGAGTCTTCTTCTCTTCATCCCGTGTTCCACGTCTCCCAGCTCCATCACGCGGTTGGCGCCACGTCCGTGATCTCCGCGCTGCCTCCCCACCTAACTGAAGAGTATGAGCTGCTGATCGAGCCAGAGAAAGTACTAGGATTGCGCACGTCTTCGGCAACTGGTGCACACCCACTAGAGGTGCTGAGTCAGTGGAAAAATCTCTCCTGCAGAGGCCACGTGGGAACCTTTTGAGTTGATCCAAGGACAGTTTCCCACGTTTCACCTTGAGGACAAGGTGACTCATTGTGAGGGGAGTACTGATAAGCCTCCTATTCGGTTCACTTATGCTAGGCATGGCAAGCACGTGAGGGGGGCAAATTAGTTGGTACGGTAAGGTCTATTTGGGAAACTTGCGTAGGGGCCTGGGGATCTGTGTTAGTATAGGGGAATTCAGTTGTAATGGAATAAGTAGGGGGAATTCGGTGAGGAAAGGCAGGAAATTAGTGAGTGAAGAAGAGTAGTTCCTCTGGGAGAGAATTGAGCCTCTCGAAAGCTCAATACCTATCTTACTTTCCTGTATTTTTCTGTATTTCCGATTGGCTTCCATTAATACAAATTCCCAGCTTCTCTTTTCCTATCATTTCGCTACTATATGTGTGGAATCTATCAAATTGACTCAAGAAATTCACTTTTTCCCCCTATTGGGAGACTTGGAGATTTCAATATGAAACATAAAACTTTAATAGGCACACCCAAAAGCCCTAGATCTTCCATAACAGTATCTGACACATCAAGTAGTGGTAGAACAACTATCAATAAGCAAAAGTTAATATATATATATATATATATATATATAACAAAAACCCTTTTCATTGATAGAAAATCAATTACAAGGACAAAGGATGAGATATCCTAAGAGATAAACAAGAAAGAAAATAATCCTAGGGAAAAAATCAATTATCTCCCAATTCCATCCAGCTAGTTTAGAATAATCAAAGAAAAAGGAATATCCTTGAATTCCTTATCAGTTGAGGCCCAAAGTGAAGCTAAAAATTTTTCTTTTTCAAAAACATCTATTGCACCCAATTCTTCATCTTCAAAAACACTCCCTCCAAGTTGTCCAAAGTAAAGCGAGCACCATGCATCTCTATAAGATCCAAAGCAAAAGTATAATCTTATGGGATTCTTTTTCACCCAGATTTTCTGGTAAATCTATCAGATAATTTGCTAGATATGCAAAACCAGTAACTCAGCCGCATTAACATGTCTGAATTTTTCTTGAAACTTAATGCATATGTACAGACGGTGACACAGAAGAATATCAACACGTATATACACACTCTTGTGCATATATCAACAGTAAGTACTGACCTAGGATGGACAATCCGACAGAAAGATCTGCCAAAGAATGTGCGTGTCCATGGTCATGGTCGTGATCATGATCATGATCTGCATGATGATCACGTGAGTGCGAGTGTCCGCCCCCTGCAGCCAGGATAAACATATTAATCTATAGCTCGTGCAATAAGAAGGATATGCTTACAGAAATTAATAGAAGTGCATAGCTTTGGATGGAGTTGGTCCAAAGAATTTAAGACCCCGATAATTAAGTAGTTCAGAAAAGTACTTTTGTAATAAGTAACTTCATTTAGAACCTTAATCAATAGACAGGTTTAGTCAAGCTAGAGAGAAAAGATCTTGCTTGCCCTCAAGAAATTGAAGTCTAAACCACTGACATATTTCTTCAATGTTTGAATTTTTCCTTTTCCGCCTTATGTAGGAATAAGTTGGCATTTCAAAACCAATGACGGTATTTCAGACACTTCAAAATTACCGCAAACTACACAGTTTCTAAGGTCTAAACTTTAAATTCTAACACATTTAACAGAGGAGTAACATAAGTACAAATTCTCCAAAATCCAAATGTCAATGTACACACTAAAGTAAAAAAAAATAAAAAAAACTGGATATTAATATGCCAGAAGTGTCAAACGAATAGAATTTCAAACATGCTCCAAAATAGAATATTAAAGGTCATTAGATAGCAACCGGTATATGCTCCTATTTTTTTTTTGACAGCTCATAAATCTTGTGAACCGACTTTTAGCGAACTTGAGTTTGAAACTTGGGTTTTATGCTGACACTTGAGATTATTCACCACGTACATGGCCATGAATAATTGAACCACAGACCAAGTAGAATAAATCACAGACCTGATCACTTTACTAATTCCTGGCAAATGTTGGCTGAGAGAATCTTTAATAGCTTATAGTTCAAGTTCTGTCACATATTCATAGTGATATGAACAACATGTAATTTGTGGGCATAAACATCATCCAATCAACGCATTACCAAAGGCATGTGGTAACTGATGAAGAAAAGCATCTCCCAGCATTGCTCCTGCCTGCAATAATCGTCAATCAAATAAGTGACACCATTTTAAAAAAGAAATTGAAGAAAAAGAACACTAGAGAAAATAACCCATGCAATCTAGTATAAAATATTACTGAAGTTTCACAACCTTGCTAGAGTCATTTATTAGAATCAGAAAAATGAAAAATTTGTTGTCAAGGCTATGATCTAGAGCTTGCCATCCAGGATAGCGCCACTTTTCAGCTTAAATTACACAGTGAATAACTAACCAGCTAGATTTTTTTTTTCTTTTGTTCACTTTCCTGATAAAATAAGCTAGCTAGACCTTTTAACTGCTCATTTTTAGCACATGAATCAATAAAGTTGGTCCGGGCCTAAAGCCAGTCAAGAGACAATGCTGGATAGAATTAAAAACCATTCATAGTCGGGCATTCTTAGAGGTTATTTGCTTGTGTTAGGTAAAACCACATATCTGTGGGACGTAAAGTTCTTGAAGGCTGTCACCACTTTATCAGCATGTAAATGAATATCTCAGATATAAGAAACACCCATGCAAATGCAATAAATCTTGGAGATCAACATGCTGGAAACCTGAAGGCAACTGTATTTGCCGCTTATGTTGGAGACTGCTTAGTGTAACACCCTCTTGACGCAAATTACTTTTAATATATGCTCTCGATTGTTAATGATCTTGGCCATGTATAACTAAATTAAATCTAGAATAGGACAGACAAAAGATGCTTCAATTCAACTTTCAGATGTTTGACTTCAGCCAGTGTAGTTATCTTTGTGCAGCAAAATGACCATGAATTCTTTAAATATGCATATGTTGCATATTTCAATCAATTTTGTTCATTTACCGATTGTACAAAAGCTTAAGCTATTACGAGGTGGGAAAACAATAGTTTTATATTCTAACACTCTCCCTTAAGTGTGGGCTGGACTAACAAGTGAATATTTAGCTATAAGTCCGAAACATGTTAAAGGCCCAACACATGATAACAATTTTGGAGAGTGCAATTATAAGGGTTTGACCTCAAAACCGCATGATCTAATACTGTGTTAGTGCACCAATTCTCCCCAAAAGTTTTAAGCTATTAGGAGGTGGGCTAACAATAGTTTTATATTCTAACATTTGCATGCCAAAACTTAGCATCACATGATCACACTTAACATAAGTATTACAAGCAAAGAGGATGGACAAGAAGCTCATAACTGCCGATAAATCCAGTATACATTTCATAACTAGTAAATAATGTAAACATAATACCTAAATGAAGGAATAAAATCAGCAGGATTAAGAGAAACTGACCCCAAATAAAGCCAATGAATCAACAACTGTCTTGGAGGGTTTCCCTTGGACTGCAACAACTCAAGAAATTACTATCGAATTATCAAAATAGAGATTACAAAATTGACTCTTCCAAGCCGCCAAAGTCATGAACACGTGAAAAAATGTGTTGACAATTAAAGCACTTACCAAACATTACGGGCAAGATAATTAGGCAGATAAGAGAAGCCATGCTCACCAAAAGGGAGCATCCCAATGCAAGGATCCAAAGACCTAAACATGAATTAACAATTAAAAAATAAGAGGGCAATACGAGGAAAAACTCCACCATTACTAAAACAAGAAATAATACCTCCAATAACATTTCTATGCAATTATATCCACATCTATTTTGACTAGTCTTGGGACTTTAAAATCAAGCATCCAGTGATGTATAGAAAAAGGCTTTCAGATAAATGTATCTTCTAATTCTCCCACACAGCTGCAGAGGTCATAATTCCCTGAGCTTGAAATCTTTAGCCTACTTTTTCTGTGCATTTTCTCAGTAGGCAAACAGCATTACATGTTGGATCCTTAATCTAATGTTGGGCTTATATGTGAATAATTATGTGTTGTAGACTGTCATATAAGGTTAAGCCCGTTTAAAAGTGATCTAATAAGATTTGGGTAATTTGAGCTTTAATGTACCTAATAGGATGTGGGCTTTTAATGTGTAGAGACTTAAAGGGTAATTTCTGTTTTTATGATGGACTAAAATAAAAATACCAAAAGATAACAGGAAAGTTATCTATAAATAGCAGTTATGGTCCCCAGATCACACGTTACATTCTATTCTTTCTGAGATCCCATCATCAGAGAGAGTACAGAGAGAAAGTTAAAAGGTTCTCTCTAAGAAAACGTGTTGATCTAGAAGACAAACTGCACGGCTCTAGAGAGAAATCAGTCAATATGGATTCAGATACGCTTCCGCTTACAGATTTATTAATTCTTGATGATCTAACATGAATGTTCTTGGGTTTTAGGTGATGGTTTTCACCAAATTATTGATTTCTAACATTACATACCAAACACCAAGATATACAATCATGGTACACCAATCAAATATACCAAGATAATTTCAAATTAAACGAATCCAACAAAATTTTCCATCTTCAAGAAAAAGGCAATTTTCTCATTAGTCAAACATTACTAAGCAAAACCACCAAAATGCACAACACCACTATGATACACTATTGGATTTACTACTCAGACCAGTTAACATCAAACTAAAAGAATCTAGTACAACTTTCCATCTTCAAGAAAAAGGCAATTTCTCAGTAGTCAAACAGTAATATTCAAAATCACCTAAATGCACACCCACCACTATGATACACTACTTGAATCAACTAATCTGACCCAGATAACATCAAACTAAACGATTCTAATGAAATTTCCCGTCTTCAAGAGAATGGCATTTTCTCAGTAGTCAAACAGTAATACTATGCAAATCCACCAAAATGCTCCAGATTAATTGAATTTACCAATCAGACCCAGATACCATCCAGACCCGTTGAACCACAAAAACCAAACAAATCGAACAAAAGTGAGAAAATTACCAGGACCCGTAAGCTGTAGAACTCCAAAATGTTCATGTTCATGGTCGTGGCCGTGGTTGTGGGACCCAAATCCGTACAACTTCATATCCTCCTCTTCAGCCAACTCCTCTGGAAGCTTAGACTCTCCCAGGCTCTCCTTTTCATGGTGATGGTGATGATGATGATGGTCGTGTCCATGATCGCAGTGGTGACTACTTCCATGGGAGTGATGGACCGCAGAGGAACAGAACCCAGAACCAGACGTCAGATCCAAAAGCACCCCAAAACCCAAACCCACAACAAGAAACACAGAAACGACAATCTTTATGTTGGAAAACGCCATTTTCAGAGACTGCTTAACAAGACCCAACCCTTGTAAAGCAAGAATTTTGAGATATATTCTTAATTATATATGATAAATGTTAACGGCGTTTGCAAGTGCCCTCAATGGTGATGAAACATACGATGACGAGGAAAAGCACGATTATGGCGATTATAACACCAAATGTTACCACATCCATTTTATGCTTTTCTTTTTTCTTTCTTTTTAGTTTTTATTTTTTTCTTTTATTTTTTTTTTTCCTTCTCGTTGTCCTAGAAGTAAGGCATCTGACAGAAGCAGACCTACTCTCTGGCGGAGTGCCAGTTCTGCTACTACTCACAACATGGTTGTGATTTTTTTTTTTCAGTGATAAATGGAAATTTTCTCTCTTTCATTAGGTGCTGTCAAACCGGGCCGGGCGGCCCGCATAAGAGAGTGGACTGGGCCGGCCATGAGAAAGGAAAAATACTCGAGTTGTTTTGTGTGCGTTTGAAATTCATTTTAAAATAATTTTATTTTTTAAATAAAAATAAAAATAAAAACGTTTTCATTTTAAAATTATTTATGAAAATGCGTTTGATAATTTTATTCTGAGATTATTTTTAGTTTAAAAAAACTGAAATTGTATTTGGTAATATAATTTTTAAAAACATGTAATAATATTTAAAATAAATAATATTATTAAATAAATATATTAATATAACATTATATACGGTATAACTAACAGAGGAAATGTTTTTGGAGAAGGCAGTCTCAGAAGAGTGGTGAAAATGAAAATGGGGAAATGGAAAACGACTTTGGTTCGTTTTCAGAAATGCCAATCTTTGGGAAGATGACAAAAACGTTTTGATTTTGATTTTTGTGCGACTCAAAAATGCCTCAATCTTTGGGAAGATGATAAAAACATTTTTTATTTTAATTTTTATACGATATCGCCCCAAACACAATTCTCCTTTCATTTTCATTTTTTTATCCTCAGAAAACGTGAAAAACGTTTTCAAAAACATAAGCAAACACGCTCATATATTTTTACTTTTTAAATTAGAATTAATTAAGAGATAAAGTTTTTTAAAATAAGTATTTTTAACAAGTCTGATACTAAGAAATAAAATCTGTAATTTTTTCAAAAAGAAATATAGCCTTATTTGTATTTGTCTCTTTTTCTTTTTTACATAGAAAATATAAATAAACTTAAACAAAAACTAATATCATCACGTGAGACCACAGACACAGGTTATTATAAAGGTTGTGTCGGACTATTTGACAGCTCTATTTTTTATCCATTTCTTTTAGTTTTGATTTTACGCTCTCTCATTTTGCTCTTTAGATTTTAATTAACATAGAATTTGATGCAAAATATTTTCCAAGTAGAACATTGCATAATGTAAGAGAAGTAGAATTAATTAATGGAAAAGTTAAACTGATACTCATTGGTTATTACTCTTGATTTCTGATGATCATAGTGACGTATTCTATGTCTAATTTTGTTAAGTTTTAAGTGAACGGATGAAAAACCTAATAATCTTGATTATTAGATTTTAATGAGTTGATTAAACCCATTGGTTATTACACAGAGAAATTATTGACCATTGAGATTTTAGTAAGATATCATTAGATCATGTTACAATGAGCAGATCATGTACCTTTTGTTCCGGCGAATCCCCTCGTAACAAGGTACACATAAAAAGCTTAAAGACTTTTTCAAGCGTCCTTATCCAATCTCGTCTGATTGGTCGGTGTGTTGTCCCATCCGATGGTACAGTTTGAATTGTGTCCTTATTTTTTGTTTCTAAACGTCTATTTAAATTGATCCATCAATTCTATTTACCCAAATTGGGTTTGAATATACGAGCTAAACGCACGTAAGTTAAATCAAGTAGAACAAAAAGGAATTACAAATAGGAGTTTATTTATGCTCATTTATTTTATCGATTTAAGTTTAAAATTTGAGTTTTATTACAGTAAAAAATTCTCAGAAACAATCACATCTAACTTTTTTGCTACAGTAAAAAACTCTTAAATAAAATCACATCTAAATTCGAATTAAAAACTCAAATCAACGAAATAAACGAGTTCGTTGATTCAAATTTTTAATTCGAGTTGATATGTAATTTTATGTGAAAATTTTTTACTATAGTAAAAAAATTAGATGTGATTATCTTTTAAAATTTTTTACTGTAATAAAACTCGAATTCTAAACTCGAATCGGTAAAATGAATGGAACAATTTTTATTTTGGCTGAAATGCAATGATCTTGTTGCCATCTACTAAGAGAGAATGCGTTTCCTAAGGGAAGCTGTGCTTCAGCCATATGTTTAGAAAAGTTTATGACGTTACTTTTTAAATCTTCACACTTATTTTTCAAAAAATTCTAAATATAACCATAGTCAGTATCTATTCTATGCATACATATTTCGCACCCCGCTTTTCAGCGAAACGTTTTTTTTTTTTTTTATTCTTTCCTTTTTTATCTCCTCCTGAGATTATCAGATAAATCATTGTAAATCCCTAATTTTACCTATTCAAAGAACTAATTTGAAACCAAAATTGAATTTGGATTACAATTTGGGTTTTGAAAATATGATGAACCCTAACAAGATTGGCACAACACTATAAAACGGACTTAGAAACGGCCAAGTAAAAACATGCTCATTGCACCCAGATTTCAATCACAACCAATCAGATTCTAAATAATAATAAGTTCTAAACTCTACAGACAAACTGAATGAACAGAGATCAATACTTCTACCATTTATTATGCCTCTCCATAGACAACCAAACTTGCCCACATAAAAATGATATTTAACAATCACAAAAGTAACACGTATAGATACACATACAGATATATACAACAAGAATCCATGAAAAGAAAAAAGAGGCAAAATCCATGAAATACATGGTCAGAACGACTATAGAATACCTTTCATATTAGTTTCCTCTATATTGATGGCATGCAAAGACTTCCAGAAGTCAAATTCCAAACTGTAGTAAATCAACCAGAGACCAACCTTCCCAGGCTATATAATATTCTTTGAAGCAGACAACTTCAAATTTATGGTTCTGAATCGTTCGTTAGTTACCATTCTCACATCCCATGTAATCCTAGCAAATTACAATCATAGTGTACAATGTTCCCTTCCATATTCACAAGGTTTCTGCTGCTTTGATCCGAGTGTACTATGCTCTAGCTTGTAAAACAGCTTCCTGTTCCTTCACAAAAAAACATCATCATCTCCGACGTCAGATTAACATAAGATGACAACAATATATGATTTGAGATGAGATATTAATGTTAGGGGAACGGACCATTTTTCATTTTCATGTTCAACCATGCGGAGGAGAACCGAGCTCAGAACCACAAACTGAGGCATACGACATTGTATCTTCTTTTGATATCGCCACAAAGTTCAATGGTGCGGTAGATAATCTTCTCATTTCCTTGAAGTATCCATTATGTTGGCGCCCGGAGTAGGACCGGGGTGTCATGAGCTCGGGAGTTGCACCAACTGAGTTTCGACGAGGTGTAGGAGTCATCGACCCATTCCCATTCGCGCGGTATCCGTTTGGCTTCCTAAAGCTGTTACTTTTCCTAGGACTAGGCTTAGATCCATATATTGATTCCTTTTCTGTAAGGAGCAGATCTTGGAGCTTCTTTTGGTCCTATGAAAAGGGAGAAAAAGGTCAAACACATTTATCCTCAATCGGACACAAGAGAAGAGCTATAAAATCCTCCGAAATTTGTTAGGTCAGAAGCTAATGTATTTGATCTCAGCTCCACATTTATTAACATTTTGCTCGATAGAAATAGCATCTCAACTAAAATCTCAAGGAAAGAAGCATATAAAGGAAGCCTCAAGTTATTTACCTTGTATCTTCTCTTTTCCTCTTCTTTCTGCTGTCTGCTGAGTTTGTAATCCTCCAAAATGGACACCAATCTCACCTGCAAAATCGATCGATGTGAGAAATTACTGGGTTAGTATATGCTACAATTCTCCTGACAAAACCCAAGCTGCAAATACAAAGAAAACTCACCCCATCGTAGAGAAATAACGTTTTCTTTTCATCTTCCCATGCAAGAGTTCTGTTTATCAAGTTGTCAACCATCGCTGGAAAGAGACATCATTAGCTCTATGTACTAGAACAGCCGCATATAAGGATACGTTACCAACAAACGCAATACCTGGAATTTTCGTCACGGTCACTCGAGCTCGTTCTGCACGTTTCAGGTTAATGTGAGCGCCTCTTCCAGCATTGTATCGGTTGTGATCCTGGATTTCAATAAAAAACTCTTCAGAGGCAAGACAAACAAGATGCTCCAACAGTAATCACAGCCTGAAAACTATGCAGCAACTATCTTGATAGAAAATTCTGGCTTACTAGGTTGTATTCTTCAAGCCAATTTTCCTCTTCACAGGCAGCAAGCCACCGGTCTATCCTATCCATTATTTCCTTTCTGCTTAAAGCCTCTTCCTTAGCTTTTACAACCTCTGCTTCTATGTTTGCAAGAAGTTCGGAAGGATCAACTAGACCTGAACAAAAAAAAAAACAGCAGACTTGCGTTTATGTATGTTTCTTCACCCAGCAAATTCTACAAGATGCTCTTCATGGTAGATAATGCAAGTATACCGGAGTCTATCATTGCAGTTGATTTCTCCACAGATGTGCTTGTGTCGGGTTCAATATGAGTGATTCTGCATATTTCCTCCAATTCTGACCTCTTCTTCATGACAAGTTCTTTCATTCTGCTTGCTTTCAGCTTGGTTAGCCTCTCAACCTCGGCCGAGGCCTATGACATAGACAACAGAAACTTGAGGATCTGATTCCAGTCACCATTGAATCAGAATTCAAATATACTTGAACATACTCATACCTGCTCAATAATCTCCATTGAAAGAAAACCTTGTTCTGTAATTTCTGATTCTGAAGCTCCAAGGACAGCGGCAATCCTCAAAAAGTTGTTCTTCTCTTCTCTTGACGAATCCATCAAGTTCCAAAGCTCAGACAATGATGATACGATATCTTTCAGCTGGAATTTTGAAGAAGTGTTTTACTTTTACTACCGCGGAAAAGGATAAAATCAAAATCCATTTACAAAAATGTACTGTTCTACCTTCTGGATCCGGGCCTTTCTTTCTGTTTTCAATTTGAGAATGGTCTTCTCCAGGCCTTCCAATGTGCTATTACTGATGTTTGTAGATTGCTCTAGGCTCGTTCCACGCAAGCTTGGATGCACTTCACTCACAGTTTGGCCAAAATCCAAGCCAAGCACACCACAGAGAGAGTGGACCTCGTTGACATATTCCAAAACCTTGTGAAGTCGATCCGACTGTCAAAAGAAAGGTGCACTCATCTTATTAGATCAGAGTATGAGAGAAAAGAAAGCGTGAACCAACGAAGTCATCAAATAAATCAGAACGTGCCAAATTTTCTTGTTCATCTAAAATTTAGTTACAATGCAATGACCTCGCTAAAATAAGGAAACAGGAATGACAGTTTATATCGTTAGCATAATTACCTTTTCCTTTTGAAGAGTGCGAAGATGAGTTTGGAATTCAGTTAGCTTTCTTAGGGATAAATCCTGTTCACCGAGAGTTAATGAACCAATTGCCACATTGTCAAGATGGCTGTATCCAGAAATCTCTCCACTGATCTTCTCGATTTGTGCATTTATATCTGCAAATTGTTTCACCCTTTCCTCTCTCTTCAGTTTTAGATCTTCTACCAGTGGTGCCACAGACGCAAGTTTTTCTTTTAATGATTTGGACCGCTTATCTGTCTGAATCTGTAAATTTGAAGAAAATAATAAGAAGAGCAGGAGAAATTATATAGATAAAACCAGCTTGGAAGCTTATGAATTTCGGGGTCATTAATATAGCTTTAGACACAAAGAACATGAAGCTCACAAGATCACAAGTAAAACTTAAAAAGAAACCTCAAGTAGTTGATATGGAATATTGCCAATAATGAAAACCAAGAGAAAGCAATTTCCAACCAAAAATACACTGACAATCAGATATAGAAATACACTGATAATAGTGGGAGGATCCAAGGGACCAGGAGGACTATCTACACTGAGATAACATTAAGCGAAAATGGGAGAACCACCAAGAAGTTGAAAGGAAACAAATGTCAGAGAACACAGCTAATCTTTCCTGTTAACTGGTTATTATTCAGTGAGCACATTTTACAGCTATCAAAAAAGTAAGCAATATCCAAAAATATGGTGTCCCAAGGCCAAAAAACACTCGACAGTCCCGATTGAACCGATCCTAAAGCAGAGAATGAAACTGTAGAAAAAGAGGCGAAACTAGAGAAGCACAAACATTATTTTCTACTCTTATTTTTATATATATTCAACGAAGAAACAAAAGCGAAGCTGCAACTAGAGTCAAAACAAATAATGTAGAGGCAAAAAAGGCGATTCCCAACAATTCAAAAACGATAAAAAATATCTTTCAATCCCTTACTGGCGAATGAATGTTGAGTTCTCCAAGAGCAGCCATTAGAGTTGCAAACTCAGCTTCCTTGGCAGCAACGGATTGATGAAGGCGTGCCTTGGCATTGGCAGCTTCGTCAACCTTCCGCCGGTAAACTTCTAAGCATTCTCTCTCCAACTCCAGTAGCATACGATCTTGGTCTGCTGCAGTCTCACCAATGTCATTCCATATTTGCTGTTTTTCAAACAAACCCATCAATGAAAACAGTAATGTTAAAATCTGGCTCTTCCTACAGTTTATATATTTTCCCTAGTATACTAGTATTAAGAACCTTGCAAATGCAATAATTAAGTGGAATCAGAAACCAATTAATTTTTTAACGGGCCAAAAAAGAAAAAAAGAAAAAAAAAATACCAACAATATATTTCTTTTCCAGAAACAAACTCAGAAATTAATGTCAACCACAAAGATTCCAGGAATCTGAACATTAGTACACCCTTCTTTTTCTTTAATTACCAACTCCTATAAAACTTGCATAATTCATAAAATTGATATATGTGCAGAAACGGCAACGTGATTCAGAAAAAATAAAAAAGAAAAAAAAAACCATTAACTATATTTACACCAATTCAATCCCTCCTCAAAATATATAAAGATGAAAGAAATTAAGAATACAACATTTTCAAACATCATACAGGAAAAGCCCAATATAGCACTTGAAAATAATGAAAATTAATAAGATAAAGAGAAACAACGATTTGCTAGGGAAAAGACTCAAAAGCCCATAAAAAGTATTTACAAAAAAGAATCTCGTAGGAAGTCAACTCAAAACATCAAGAACTCTTACTAAGAACAGTAAAACCAATAAATCAAAAACAATTTTTTAGACGAGAATTTGAAAACCCTCTTCAAGAACAAGAACTACTAAACACCACATTGGAAATGAGGTCAAAAAGCAATTAGCCCTCTTTTTTTTATTCCCTTTTTTTCGCAAGGGACGAAGAATAATGGTAAAAAAAAATCAAGAAAATGGAATTAACCCAGATGGAAAAAAAATTCTTAAAAAATTTTAATTAATTGAAATTCAAGGTAATATGTATTATAAAACCTATGCCCAAGTTTTTATTTTTTAAAACATAAAATCTCAAAAACAACGAAGAAGAAGGAGAAGAAGAAGAAGAAGAAAAAGAAGAAGCAGCTTCCCCATTATATTTCAACCGCAGGAGGGGGAAACAAAAGCTTCGAGTTTTGCAAAGAAGAAGAAAGAAAGCAGCCAAATTGGAAAAAAAAAAAAAAAAAAAAAAAAAAAAAAAAAAAAAAAAACACACACACACAAAAGAGAGAAAATAGAGAAATACACAAACCTGAAGCTCTCTGAGCAAAGCATTGCAAGTAGTATTCGTATGGACACCGATGTTAGGAGTTCCTATAGCCAACATTTTTCCACAGATCTCTCTCTTTCTTTCTCTCTCTAAACCAACAAGAAATGTAAAGACTCAAAGAACCAGAGGTCAAATAAATAAAGTCTGAAAAAAACCCAAAGAAGAAAGAAAAGAGAAAAAACGGGAAACGGGTTTTTCTTCTTCTTCTTCTCAAGTCAATGAGAGAGAAAGAATCCACGAAGAGACTTTTAGGTGTGTCTTCATTCTCTGAAACAAGCTCAGTTTAACCCAGATCTGAAGCTCAAATGATTCTTCTCTTAAGCTACAAACCCCTCTTTCCCCACTTGTTTTTCTTTTGTAAAAGAGAAACAAATGAAAGAAAAAAAATGAAACGCTCGAAGAATAAAGTAGAGAGAGAGTCTGAACGGGACGGTAAAGACAAATAGAGAGAGAGTGAGAGACGAGAGAGAGAGAGAATGAATTGGGTGTAAAGCTTGAGGCTTTTAGTGAAACAAAATCAATGACACTACTAATAATTGATGAAAAGGCAACAATAAAATGGGGGAAGGGCTAAAAAAATGGAAGCTCTTTTAAGCCAAGATAAAAGCAATAAACTTTGAGAGGGAGAGAGTGAGAGAGAGAGTGAGAGCTTCACTTCAAATAGGTAAATAATGATTAAGGAGTGTCTCTCTTTCTTCTTTCTGTCTTTGTTTTGTGTAATGCAATTGTTTTTTTTTTTCTTTTCTTGAGATAATAATGAAAATGGTTTCTTTTTTTTTTTTAAAGGTTAGGCTAGTGGGTTGGTCGCTGGGTTCAATCAGAAAACAAAAAGAAAAACCCTTAAAAAAACAAAAAGAAAAAATAGCTCTATTATATTATACAAATATTTCGAACATTCACTTCACCAATAATAGACATCACATACGAGTTATATTCTGAAAATGAATGTGGCGTCATATATGTGATAATGTGAAGCTAAAAACCTTCACATTTAACACAAAAATATTACTCTTAAATTAAAAAAAAAGCATATTACCGCATTATCATGAGCTTTTTTAAATATGAAATTATATCAAAAGCACATATAAAAAGACAAAATAGTACCTAGATTACAAAGAAATGTGACAATATTATTGCAAATTAAAAAAAATATTCCTTTTTTTTAAAAGAAAGCATATGTTATGCCATGTATCTATAAGTTTTAACTTTTCCTAATAAACGCTCACAATAGAAGATTTCAATTTTAAAAGGATTTTTTACTTTCTTAAAGGAATAATACTTAAAATACTTAATGTATTTTGTCAAAATACCACTTTCACTTTTTTTATAATATAAATAACCCAAAACACCCACTATGTTTATAAAAACATACCTGAAATACTCCCTAAAACAATTAAATTTTTAAAATACCAAGATTATTCTTCTAAACATTATTAAATACAATTTAAAACATTATTAAACCAAAATGTTAAATAAAATCAATCTTAAAAAATAAAAACTGTCAAAATAAGTGAAGCATTTATTTGACTGAAATATTTATTTGAGCATATTTTGAAAAAAATTTTATTTAACTTTTTAGTTAAATCATATCTAAAATAACATTCAATATAAATTGAAAAAGGTAATAATGATATTTTCAAAAAAAGAAAAAGGGAACACAATTGCATAAAGACGATACTCATTGAGGGTACAGGACATAGAAAAGGAATGACAATCGTCGGAAGAGAAAAGCGTGAATGGACAATGATCCTTCCCGGAGGAGATGGCACAACGCACAAAGGATATAAGGAATGGGTGCAAAGATGTAAGTTCTTGTAGCAAAGGGTATAAAAATATAAATGTAAACCAAAATAAAAGATTGCACGAAACAAACTAAATTATAAACATGTGCCCACCAAATCTTATTAATAAAGCCCAAAAGAACCGATTATATTTAAAAAGTAAAGTCTCGTTCATTTCACCAATTTAAATTTAACTACAGTAAAAAGTTCTTAAAAACAGTCACATCTAATTTTTTTACTACAGTAAAATACTCTCACATAAAGTCATATCTCAACTCAAATTAAAAACTCGAATGAACGAACTAAACGAATCTTAAATATCAATAATATAGTTATATAAAATATAATTATTTAGGTGAAGATCGAGGTAGAGGCGGGGTGGGGAATGCTTCTCAATTCCTATCCCGTTACTATTTGGGTATAAGATTGCATCCACATTCCCGTTTTTATTTTTAATTATTACCCTTACTTTTATCTTTTACTAGACGAATTCTTGTAAGACTCATCTCTAATTCAATTTCACATTTTTACTCACTCTTACTATAACAATAGTCGCTATCAATTGTTCCATAATAAATTAAAAAAAAAGGAATATATATATATATATAGCTATACTTTTTTTTTTAGCAAAATCACGGTTTCTAATGTATAAGTTCTGATAATTTTTTCCACCGTTTATATAATGAAGTACTAACGAACGGGCAAAAACCAAAAAAAAAAAAATATATATATATATATATATATTACAGTTTATGTTTCTGGACTTGTCTGTACTGTAGCCTATTTGTCGCCTTTCAAAGCTCTCCAGAAAAAAAAAAAAAAAAAGGAAAACGGATATAGTTAAGTTATGTTATTGTTAGGTATTCTGTTCGGTGTCTCTAATTTTAGAACATAGTAAATTGTTTATTGTCTGGACGTAGCTCTGTAAATATAAGTGTGCGCACTAAATTTTAATATTATATTATGTATTTTTTTATTTTTTATATTTTATTTTGCTCGAGCAATTGAACATAATTAACTCAAATCTTAATTAATTAAGCTGTATTCTATATAGTTTTTCAGCATCATCTCGATCACCAAACGTAAAATCAAACCTAACAGTTATCAAAGTACCTCAGCAACAAAAATAAATAAATAAATAAATTATATTATTATTCGTTTACAATATTGAATCTCAATCCTGTTATTTTGGCGCTGGCTGAAGAGTTAATTTGTGAGTAAAGATTGTCATTGCAAATCTGAAGTAATTATTGTTTGGTTGCCAAATTACTCTACACAAGTTTATAAATTGATAATTATCGCCAACGTGAACAAAAATATTGTTAAACATCAACACTAATAGATCATACTAAAATTTAACCATATGGCTTAAAAAACATTGCTCCACCGGTTAAGGTAAAACAACACACTCTACTTTAATTTTTCTAAAATAATAATAAATAAAGATAATAACAATAATAATAATAATAATGAGCATCAAAGAATTCTTGTAATGCTGATCCATCATAAAACAGCATCCGATGCTAGTTCCAATCATGCATCATTCTTTACTCCCGACCCCATATCATAAAAAATGAAATGAAAATGACAAAATACACACACACTAGACGGTTTATATATATATATATATATATATAGTGCTCTTCTTCTTGATTCCTTTTTCTTTTATTTATTTGTTTTTTGCTTGAAGGTGAATATAGACTCAAGAATGGTTTAAGCTTTTCAGATCGCTTGAAGTAAAAGGAAAGGACAAACTAACGTTTTATTTACCCCTACTCTTTTTTTTTTTTTACTTTCGAGAGAAACCTGTATATCTTTCATGCTTATAATTTCTCGTTAAGAAAATAAAAGTTCCTTTCCACCAACTTTTGGAATTAAAAGATGCACTTTCTTACCTTGTAATTATATAAACTTTCTTGCTTAGCAAAACCATCTTGTAAAATTGACTCAATGATCATTACTAAAAGGGTAATGCATATTACGGGTCCATTTAGTTCACTGATTCGAGTTGAGATGTGATTTTATGTGTGAGAACTTTTTATTGTAGTAAAAAAGTTAGATATGACTGTTTCTGAAAGTTTTTTACTGTAGTAAAACTCGAATTATAAACTCGAATCGGTAAAATGAACGGGGCCTATTTGGAAGGATAATAGAGTCATATCTGATTATCCTCAACAGAGCACCTAATTCTATCTTGCAAATTTTCCCCCACAATTAAATTTTTTTTGCGAAAAATGTAATGCAAAAACAAACAAAAAAACTCCTTATGTTAGGATCTTTAAAAGAAATAGCATGTATCACACAAATAATGAGTATCGTTGAATCATTTTTACTACACAATTATTCTGTAAGCTCCTCCTCGTTTAGTAACATAGAAATGCAATTTCGCAATAAGAGTTGTCATTTTTTTCTTTAGAGGTTCATTAATAGTGGCCAACAATAATAACAAAAGTAAGAATTTAAAAAAGGTGAAAATTTATAAGAGTTATTAAATTCGAGGGACAAAAGTAAAATTAAAGTTCAGATAACATTTTGTGACAAAGTCTATATTTTAAAGAAAAAAAAAACGTATAATTTTTCATAAATATAATCCACAAACAAAATCGTTACATTCTTAGACAAGACGACAAAGTTCATTTATGTGTTTTTCTTTTGCTTAGAATGGTTTGTTTGTTTTTGTTTTTTTTTTGTTTTTTGGTATAGTAACAATATAAAATTAAAACTCCTAATTAGAATGTCATATGAAATATGTCATGAAATACTATATATAGAGATTTCTCATATAATAAGACAAATATTTTCCTATCTAGTTCTATACTAGTGAATATGAAAAAAAAAAAAAAAAAAAAAAAAAAAAAAAGGGGGGGTTTGGAATTTGTCAGCTCGAATTAAAAATTTGAATCTGCGAAGTGAACGAGATAAATAAGACACGTACGAAAAAGTAATAAAAGGAAAATATGGAAACTAAGGGTACGTTTTGAATTGGTTCCAAAATGATTTTGTTTTCTATATGAAAATGGAAATGAAAACGTTTTCATTTTCATTTTGAAATTATTTCTAAAAATGCATTTGGTCATTTTATTCAGAGATTGATTTCAATTTTAAAAAAAAACTGAAACTGCGTTTGGTGACATTTTCAAGATAGTATGTCGTTTGATCACTCCACATAAATGACATGTCGTTTTATATAATCACTATTGTCGTTTCTCAATCGCCAGATTTTCCAAGGCAAAAAAAAAAAAAAAAACACTTTGACTATCAGAGACTCGATCCATGGATAGAAAATCCATGGCATTTCTCAATTTGATCAAGAAAAGAAAATCCATGGCGTCCTCCTCCTCCGCTATCCCACCACCAACCCCATCTTCTCCGTCCTCCCTTTTTGCCGCAATCAACATGGGCACCAACTCCTTCAAGCTCCTTATCGTTCGGGCCCACCCCACCAGTTGTTTCCTCCCCTTCCTCTGCCGCAAAGACCTCGTCCTCCTCGGCCGCCGCCACTACCACCAAACTCCCACTTCTCCTTTCGCCATTTCCGCCTTCTCCGAGCTTCGTACCCTCAAAGCCCTCAATACCTTCCAAACACTCCTCCAGGCCCACAACATCCCCACCACCCACACCCGCTGCGTCGCCACGTCAGCTGTCCGCGAAACCACCAACAAGTCTGAGTTCTTGGAAAACGTGAGGGAGAAGACTGGATTGGAAGTCGAAGTCTTGAGCGGAGAAATGCTTCAGTTCTTTCCCGTGTTTGAAAAATTGGTTCTTTGTGTTGATATCGGAGGTGGGGGTGCCAGTCAAGAGAGGGGGGCTAGTCAGAGAAGACGGGCTGAAAACGGAGGAAATGAGAAAATGAAAAACGGTGTATTATACCGGAGAAAACGAATCCGGCGAGAAGAACGGAGGAGCTCGGCCGGCAAGAAGGCTAAAGAATCTGCGCTGAAGAATGGCTGAAGAAGGGCAGAAAAAAAAACTGAGACGGGGGAGGCTGAAGAGAAAACGGGAGAGAAAAGGAAAATGAAAACGAAAATGGAGAAAATGAAAACATCTTTTTTTCATTTTTTTGATTTCCACAAAACGACAAAAATGATTTTATTTTTGTTTTTTAAAAAAAACTTACACCAAATGCATTTTTAAAACCCGTTTTTAATTTTTTGCTTCGAAAAATGAAAATAAAAACAGAAACAAACAAGCCAAAGTCATCCTATCAATGAAATCTATGTTGAACGGTATAGTAAGAATTGGATGTTATGATTGGATGAGATTTTAAAGGATGACTAATCCCACGTTTTTTATTCTATTTTTGAGTCAGTGGCTAATATATTATTCGGTCAATACTCATCACCAAACATGCAATTGTGATTATTTATCCCAATCTTAATCCGAATCTGGTGTAACAAACACGGATAAGAGTTTAGACTGTTAGTCGCAGACAAATATATGGCACAGAATTTCATGTTTAAATTTCCTTTTTTCTTAATTCCTGGATATAAAAATAAAAACTGAGCGCACGCAATAGAGGAAGAGATATGGTAACAAGTTTTCACTAACAAGACAGAAAACTTTGTCCACTCTTTTTGTTGCTGAATCATTAGGAAGTATAAAAAAATTCCTTACATTCAATACCCATGGTTAAAAAATGGAATAAAGGAATAACCTTGGAGACGTGTGAATAATAATGAAAGGAAAAAGGCAACCATCTGTTAGAGTTTCTTCGACGAGTGGACAGAGGAGAAGAAAAGAAAACACAGATTAAAGTTAGAAAAAGCACTTAAGTGTGTCTTCTTTTGGGAAGTTAATTCTATTTTACAGTATTATTTTAAAAGGAGATTCTCGTACATATAAAATAAATTTTTTAATGGTTAAATTTACGTAATTTTTAAATACATATCTAATAAATAAAAAATTTAACCTATTAGTATGTTAACATATAAAAAAAATCCCTATTTTTAAACCATAATTGACTAGACTCCATCCAAAAATATGTATAATATCTATATAAAAAGAATATATATATATATGTGTGTTAGATTTGTTTTTAGTGGAGATTTTATAGTATGTTTGACGTACCAATAAGTCGTATTTTTTTAACTGTTAGATCTATATATTTTTTAATTTTTATGTAATTTTATACAAATTTAACAGATATAATACTTAATTTACTGATATGTTAACGTACCCAAAAAATCTCTTATTTTCAAACAATTAAAGAAAAAAGTATTGCACTTTTTTGGCTGACAAATTTTATTCCACTTTTTAAAAAGATTCTTGGCATGTAATGACCCCACTAAAGTAGGCACACGAATGGAAAACTAAAGGTGGCTGAGCAAGGTGATAATGCAGATTATTTTGTGCAGTTGTTTGAATTTTATTTTATTTTATCACTATAATTATGGATGTAGTACTCTCATTTCTCAACAATATATATATATATATATATATATCAGCTACAACCTTATAAAAGCTGTGAAAATTCCAAAGGTAAATAGCAAGATTTTACACACGCACACACATATATAAAGCCTTATATCCGTTATCCAGTCATCTTCCTCCATCATTTGCCTGGTTTCTGTCTTGTGTGAATACAATAATATTTATAATTGTTGGTAAATAAGAAAAATAATCTAAGCGCAGGGCCAAAAGAGAAGTCCTATCAATTATCAAATGCCATGCACCAAGCAAATTAAGGTCTAAATGTGGGTCCCGTTAAGTAATTTTAACTTCAATCTGATCTTTTTCTTTTTCCTACCGCTCTTTCATGTCTTTTCCTTTCTTTTTTTTTTTTTTTTTCTCAATTGTCTCATATGGTTAATTTTACTTTAGTTCTCACTTTTCTTATTTGTTTTCAATCAATTATAAATTTGTAATTGGTTTCAATTGAATAGAACAGGACAACAAAGTGTAGGAAAAAAAATCAACCGGTTAATTTGTCCAATTTTGGAAGACAAATAATGTGTAGTTGTAGAAGATGTTGGCTGACAGACTAGCAAACTAGTATCAAGAATTAATTATACATTTAAAACAATGCATTAAGTAGTTGTACTCGAAAAAGGAATTGAAAAGAGAGAAGTTTGCCATAATAATTAGCAAATTATCTTTTTTGTTTTTACCCTAAGCGATTCACTCTGTTTCATAATTTGAAAAATGATCGCGTTAGATCTTTCTCTAAGATATTTTTACAAATTAAAATTCATTACTTTCTCTGGTAGGCTTCCTTACTGATGGTGTTAGTTTCTGATAATTAAATATGATCAAAATCATATTAAATTAAAAAAGTACACATAACATATAATTTCTAATACATATCTGACGGTTGAAAAGTAGAAAACTACAAGTAGAAAGACCCTATCGGAAAAAGTTCCTTCTACATTTTTATCAAAAACTTTGAGTGCTCTTAGAGATTTATTGACTTCATTAATAACTGCAAACTTTTTTTTTCTTAAAAGAAAAAATTTTGAGTTTTGAGTTTTATATTTTATTTCTTATGTTTTGTTAATTCATTGACACAGATAATAAAATAAGTTGTTATAATTTTGTTAAAATAATATTTTTATTAAATATTTTATGAATTTAATTTAGAATGATTATGGAAAAAAAATTTAAGAAAGAGATAAATAAAGATGTGAAAATTTAATTAAAATGTTTTTATTCATTCCCTCTCCCCCACCCCACCAAAAAAAAAAAAAAAAAGTTTTAGGTTGATTATATAAGGCAAATATTAAGTTCAAGTTAACAACTCATTTAATAAGTAGGTAGTTGCTCGTTAAGTTCCCTTTATCAGAATTCAGCCATGTAATCAAGTTTGCGTCGCAACTTGTAATTAACATGATTATCATTATACAAGCCGTTTATAAACAGCTTGACACACAACCCTTAATCACGGTTAATGAACCTAAAAGATATTATATATTATTTTGAATTGTTTGTGATATTTTATAAGGATGCTACAAATTTAGAAGCTATAGTTAGATTCAAAGCGACGTAAGTCAGAGCCATACTCTCTTTTTAGCTAGACGAAACAACACTCATTAATTAATGGTCTTAATTAAAAGAGTGGAAGTGGGCAATTAGTTTCTATAAATAAAAGAGAAGAGACTTGTCTTACTTAGATCATAACTGTCTTCAATGTAAATGCTAACGTGAGTTGCATATTTCTCATTAAAAAAATGTGATAATAGCGTGTGGAAATATTATTTTTATTTGTATTTTAATGCATGATTCTACTTCAAATGCTAAATCTTTTTTTTATGGAAAATCTACTTTTTAGTACAATCAATTAAATTTTGGAAATTATAAAATAAACTTTTTATTCTAAAATAACTTGAAATGCAGATATTCTAATAATTAAATTAAAAAGTAAGCCAATCAATAAATACTAATAAAATACCAAATTAGCAATATGGTGGGAAATTTGTCATCAAGTACAAACATTATTGCATTGGAGAGTAATTTTCTCACTCAATTTGCTAAAGTTTAACATTAGAACACTAATTTAACATTGCATTGAAGCTCCTCCAACTAACTAGCAATAGTTTTTAATGACTCCTCCATCTATAAAAAACAATATTACTTTCTTGTTTGATCATAATATTAAGGAAACTTTGGATATTTATTAGAATTTATAGCACTCACCATTTCTAAGGTTGCCAGATATAACGTGGTATTTTTCCTTCCTTCTATGAATGCCTGTAGTGTTGTGGTCATGCCCATCGATTAAAGCAATATCTTAACGTGAAATAAGTCTATAGTAGGTCACATGCAACTTCCTTTACCTAAAATCATATACCTAATATACAAATCTATACACATTCTGCTAGCTAATATATACATATATATATATATAAACATATATATATGACACACCTGGAAAGTTATAATCTGTAAATCTATCTCCTACGTACCTTACCACAATAATGTTGGCAAGTCAGAAAGACGTGCGAAACTTCAAGTCTTTTATGAACTTTTATAGTACTAAGATAAGATAAGGTGGGTTGTGTATCTAAACTAAGTTCACATTATATATATTTCACTTTTGGCACATGCATAAAATTTTGCTTAATTAATTTAAGATTTTTTGCGCATATTTTAGACAATTAACTTTCTGGCAAGGATATGATGAAGTACCATGTTACACACTCGCTCTCATGAATAGGCGCATTTATGTCAATTAAATTGATATGTTCCTTGTTGCCAAAAGAATAGCAACAGCAACGGTAAGAACTAAAGCAATCATTACGTAATATTGAAGAGAAAAAGGCCATGTGTGTACCCACCTTGATCAGTGATAGGAGAGAGAGAGAGCAGAAAATAAAGTGAAAAATTGTACCAGATATAGAAGAATTTGTTATTTACTTATTTTCATTTAATTTGTAGCTTGTACAATCAAATATATATGTATATCCCATTATCCACAAAAGGGCAAGTTACAAAATTGGTCAAGACCACTATGAAATTTGGGAAAAATAGCCAAGACAAATTAAATTGGATTCTAAGGTTCAAATAAGCTAAACCCATAAACCAAACATGCATATAAAACTCGACCAGTTTTAAGATACATATGAGGAATTCTTTGAGTTTCCTCTCCACCTTAATTCTCTCTCTAAATTTTTCCAAAAGTTCCTCTAACAAAGTTCACTAATATTGGACCATATTTATAACACCGCCGAAAGCATATAGCTCGAAAAATACATTTCTGAGTGGTTTAGCACACTTGTCAGTAATTATTTCTTAAATGGACATTCCTTCTTAACGTACACAAAAATGTAGTAATTCCTTTACGAAAATGGTAAAGTTTGTACTCTTGGGAGACCATGCACTCCAGTCCTATTTCGTTGTCGTGCCATCAACATGGGTTATTGCACTCATGCATTCCCTTTATTTTCTCGCACCATATAGAGAAGTAGGAGTTATAATAAATTTATTTTATGTAAAAAATGACTAATTTGAAAAAGTAT